AGTAACAACATTGATCCCTGCACGAAGAGATTCGTCGGCCGCAGCATACCAGGAGGAGGTAGATGCTGCGATAATCCATTTTGCCCCCGCTCCGTCCTGCTCCGCTCTCGTCGTTCTGCTGGTGGTTTCACGTCGTCAGATCACGCAGTCAAAGGCTGAAAGGCTGAAAGGAGGAGGCGGAGGAGGAAGAAGAAGAAGAAGAAGAAGAAGAGGAGGAGGAGGAGGAGGGGAAATCATGAGGGAGAAGGAGACGGCGGGGGTGGGGCAGAGGAGGGAGGAGGGAGAATGACGAGGAAGAGCGGGGCGGGACAGAGGGCTTCTGGGGGGCCTTCTGGGGGCATCCCTGTTTGGAGATCTGGGGGGCAGTCTTGGGGGGCTCTGGGGCAGTCAGGTGTTGGGCAGTTGTTGGGCATTCCGAGGGCCCCGGATGCCTCGTCGAAGCCACTTTGGTGCAGTAGTTGCGATACCCGTATGGATTTAAAACAGCGGTTCCGACAGCATTCCGATGTGCGCCCAATCTTTTTGGCCGCCCGAAATGGGTACTGAAAGAATGGGTACAATGCCCAACAACAATTCCTGTTCATTTTCAACAGGATTCGCTGTCCACGCCGCCGCGGCCTGTGTCCATTCGAGACAGAAGGCCGCCTGCCCAACAGCGGCCGCTGTTGGCTTGGGACAACATTTGTTGTTGGGCATAGTGCCCATTCTTTCCGTACCCATTTCGGGTGTCCAAAATCTTGTCTTGGTACATGTATGGCCTGGATACAATAACACCACCCCTGTGATATTACACAGGGCCCGATGTTTTGGAGTGCTTGCTCTTTCCTGCAACTGCATGTGCTTGCCAGTGCGCGTTTGTTGTTGTTTGTTAGATCTTGCCTGTTTGCACTTGTGTGCTCGCTTCGCTTCATGCATGGCCAGCTTGATGCTGCCTGCTGACTTGCAACGGAATTGCTTCCGTGGTTGCTATTGGTTGCCACCGTTTTTTTTATGCTCGCTTGTCATTTTTGTTGCGTGGTGGTTTTTGTCTGCGGCTGTTTGCTCCAGATTGCGTGCCATCGACCAGCGTTGTTCGCCATGGCTTGTTTGTTGTTGCGTGCTTATCCAGGCATTGCCCCCCTCTCCTCCTCGCAGCTTCCCTCCCACGTCCGTCCACTCCCATCCTCTTGCCATTTCACCTGCCTTTGAGGGCACTTCGACGGGGCACCTTTTGAGGAGCCACTGAGATGCTCCCGTGAGCTTGGATTTTCTCTTGCAACTATTGGTGTGCGTGGCCAGTGCGGTCAGCCCCCTTTCCGGCCCCACGGAGCGAGCGCAGCGGGCATGACGATGGGGCAGCGGTTTTTCTGATGCAGCGCAGCTCATTCCCATATCGGGTGGTTCGTGTCGTTCTCAATTCGCCGTTCAGCGTGGGATGATGAGGATTCGTAGAGGCCTGGCGCTGTTCGAGGCTCGTCGCGCGCGTAGGATGGGGTGCTTTTTGGAAAGCTGTTGGGCAGAGTAGTATCGTTGCGTTGTCAGGCGGCTCTTCTTTCCCGCAGTGCGCAACTGGTGTCTCATCCTCCTCCGAAGCTTTTACAAGGGTGCTACATTCTTGTTCGCGCGAGGATGAGGATGAAGGAAGGCAAGGATGAGGCGGAGGAGAGGTTGAAGAAGGAAATGGAGGAGGTTGAGGAAGAGGAGGGGCGACACAGCAGGGGGAGCAGAAGGAAAGGTTGAAGATGGAGGAGGAGGACGACGAGGAGGAGACACACAGCATCTCTCTCAGCCGAGACGCCTGCGCACGGGCAGCGCGCCGATCAGCTTCGCTTTCGCCCTGTGCACCTCGTGGGGCTCCGCCGACCAAGCAGGAGCCCGTGGCGGCCGTCAGCGCACCGCGCCTCCCTCGTGGCGGGGCCTCCGCGGGCGAAGTCACGTAAACAATGACGCACAGGTTCGTGTCGTGCCGACGCGGCAGCGACCCCGCCGCGGGGCGTTCAAGGTTGAACGCCGACAGTGACGCCCAGAGTCAGCCAATGTTGAACGACCCCGCGACCAGAAAGCCGCCGATCGTTTCGGGGTGAGCGGTCCGCGCGGCGTCAGAAACCAACGCCGAAGTCGTCACGACACGAACCTGCCGTACCTCCGAAGTCTTGCCTTGTTCCAGTGCGTGGGCCACAGAGCCCGGCCACGCGCAGAGGGGGTATGGGGGAGGGGGGAACGCTTCTTCGAAGCACCTGCCTCCTGGAAGGCGCGGGCCTTGTCTATCCTTGTCTGTAGATCTAACGCCAGCGCCTTCTAAGAAGCAGCCCCCTTCTAGGAAGCCTTCCCCCCTCCCCACCTTGCGAACAAGTGCGCGCAAGAAACTGAGACCTGCACAGGGACTGAACGTCCGAGCGATGGCGAGGCCATCTGCGCGCCGCCACAGAGCTCTCCGCCCCATCCCCGACGCTGCGCCTTCGTCGCGGGCCGCTGCCCGTGGCAGGGGGAGGGAGGCCCGGCCGAGCACGGGCCTCCACGGAGCCCCGGCTTTGGACAAGCTCGGGGGCAGCAAGGAGGGGGGTGATGACTAGGGTGGGGTGGATATCATGGCGGGGGCCAGATTTCATGGCGCCTCTTCTTATTTCATTACGTCCCTGGCCCCCCCGCTGGGCCGCGCACATGCCGCCCGTCATGATTTGCACCCCCCCTCTTGGACACCCCCCTCTTGGCCACTCCCGACATGCGAGGAGCGCAGAGCACGGGCAGGCTGTGCGCACGGGCGTCGCACCGCCCACGACGCCAAAGGTCTGGTCCAGGGGGAGGAGGGAGGAAGGTTGGGGGGGAGCAGTGGCGGAGCAGGAGGGGAACTCGGCATCGCTCGGACGTGTGCCTGTCTCCTCGGCGAGGACTACCGCGGAACATGTGGGCCATCTCGCGCAAGAAGGGACACGCACGAAATCGAAACGCGCTCGGGGAGTGGACGTCCGAGCGATGCAGTGAGAAGAAGCAACTGCGTGAGCATGAACTCTCCACTCAGGAGGGGAAAAATCACACAGACACAATGAATCGACTATTCCCCCGAAAAGATGGGAAAACATGGGCAGTGGGGGCGAAGACAGAAACCCACAAAATATGGGAAAAGATGGGGAATCCTTTCCTTTGTGTGTATTTATTTGTGTGTCCCAGGGCCCCTTCATCCACGGGCCGCGCGGATGTCCTGGATCGGCGCTGGGCCCCCCTGGCGGCGCCGGCGCAGGCCCCTGGCGCGCTCCGCCGAGGCCAGGAGGCAGAGCAGCAGCAGCACGCACGCGCTGCCGGTGGCGCACACCGTCGTCTTTGCCCGCCCTTCCTTCCTCTCCATCCCTGCCTCGCTCGTTCCCTCGCTCCATTCACTCTCCTTCCCTCCATCCGTCCCCTGTGTCGTGTCGCAGTGCACTGTGCCCATCAGTTTGCCGCTCCTGCGTGGTCGTCTTCCCGTGGTGCCCGTGCAGAAATTTCAGTCGCCAGTGTTACGCGAGCTGCGCGTCGCATATCGCTGACGGCCCTCTTGCTTCATCTGCCCTGCCATCTAAAATCCATTCGTCCCTTCTCCCTTCGTGGCTTTTGCCCCCCATCCCTCCCCACCCCATCCCCCTACCCCCACCCCCCACCACCCTCGAGGTCAGGATCCTCCAAAGGTTCGGGACAAGGAGAATAGGGAAGACCCTGTTGAGGGGGAGAGGGAGAAGGAGGACGAAGAGGCGGAGAGTTCGTGCTGGTGGGGCCAGGGGGGTGCTGTCAGAAGGCAGGCAGCCAGCGACCTCGCGCAAGCGCGATCACGGAAGGACGGCCACCTCCCAGGAGGGGGGGGGGAAGGAGGCCAGAAGGGGGAATGAGTGCCACCGTCGGGAAAAACACAAAACTAAAACTGGAGCGGTCCTTGGACCAAACCACCCTAGACAGCATCCTCATCCTCCGACAGGGGTAGGACCTCGTGGTCCTTAAATTTGTGGTCGAGGGCGAATGAGCCAAAAGGGGTAGGTCTCAGGCCGCTTTCCACACCCAGAAGCTCGGCCCCACTGCGAAAGCGACAGCCACGCCACAGCTTACGCATGCGGCCCCAGGCCACGGACCCACGCGGGCAGCTTCCGTGGCAGACTTGGCCGAGCTTCTGGGTGTTGTGTTCGTTGCATGCCCCGCAAACGCTGCAGAACACAAGAGGGCCAACCGTCCAATCTCGGTGGCCTGCGCCTGGCTTGCACGGGCCAGTTCTCAGGATCTGGATGGAGCCTCCAGATCTCAGGCACCGCATGCACCTGAAGCCACCCTTAGGAGACCAGACGGGGTCGTGGGCGCCATCGTCGGAGAGCCGAGGGGCGACTCCTCGCCTCCTCCGAAACCCCATCTCACGGCGGGTGGCAGACGACAGGCTGGGCCCAGCAGCGCGGATCGTCCTGGCCAGGAACTTACTTACACTTTGGACCAGCTGGTGAGACTTGATCGCCCCATCCTGGGCCTGCTCGGTACATCGGCGACGACCTCGACCGCGGCGGCGACAGCGACGTTGGCATGAGGAGAAGGAGGAGGAGGAGGAGGAGGAGGAGGAGGAGGAGCAGGAGGAGGAGAAGCAGAGGGGAGCAGAAGCAGAGGGGTGCATCTGGGGCCCTCGGCGCGCCGACTCGTCGGCCGCTGTGTTGCCGAGGCGGCGCCGCCTGGGCCTGTCGTCGCGGTCAACATCGCGCGCACGCGCACGGCCTCGCACCTTGGTGGCGGGCACCTCCCCCCAAGGTCCCGAACACGGTCCAACACGCCCTCCCATGGGACGAAGAGGCGGAGAGGAGGAGGAGGAGGAGGAGGAGGAGGAGGAGGAAGTGGAGGAGGAGGAGGAGGAGGTGGAGGAGAAGGAGGAGGAGGTGGAGGAGGAGTAGGAGGAGGTGGAGGAGGGAGAGGAGGAGCGGAGGAGGAGGAGGAGGAGGAGGAGGAGGGGCGAGAGTGGGGGAGCACGGAGGGGTCTTCGAGATGGTGGGGTAGTGTTTGCTTCCTCCCCGCGCCTCGCCGAGGCCAGGAAGCAGCACACCGTGACGCACTCGGTGGCGCGCGGCTCCAGGTTCCGGTGGGCATTCCGCGTCAAAGGCTTTCGATGTTTTTCTGGTCGTCGGCGGCGGGTTCTGGCCATTCAGGTCTTCTTCGTCGCCGTCATCGTCGTCGTCGTCTCCTTCCCCCTCGTCCTCCCTCCTCCCTTCTCCTCCTCCTCCTCCTCCTCCTCTTTTTCCTCCTCCTCCTCCTCTTCCTCCTCCTCCTCCTCCTCCTCCTCCTCCTCCGCCTCCCTCCTCAGCATTATCATCAACACCATCGTCATCATCAGCATCATCATCGCCATCATCACCATCATCATCATTATCATCATCATCCTCATCATCATCTGCAGCGTCATCATCTCCATCATCATCACCACCATCACCACCGTCATTGTTATTGCCATTATCCTCCTCCTCCTCCTCTTCCTCCTCATCCTCCTCCCCTCCTCCTAGTCGGCGTTGGAGGCTCAGGCACTTTGAGATCCGGCGGAGAGAGGATTTGCTGAATTTCTCTCACACGAAGACCGCCCAGTAATCGCACGGGCCAGAGAGGGAGCTGGTGGGGCATGGCAGATGGATGGCGGTTGCAGTGCTCTCGATATGTGCATGGATGAAACTGGTATTCTACAGTCCGCAGGCGGCGAATACCACGGACAGGCTGGAAGAAATTAGCAGTGCACCACGAGAGTGGGATGTGATTGTGCTGACAGGGACACATCATTGGGCTGGTCCAGAGCCGATGAAGAAGACGAATCATATACATCATACGGCTCTGCGCTTCGGGGCAAAGAAAGGACAATGGATCATCAAGGCATGAGGTACGACGCTTCTGGTATCCAACGAGGGGGTGAAAAACAATGCCTTCCACGCGCCGTACTCTCCACCTGCACAACTGCAAGGAAGGACGGCATGGGTGAGGCTGCGTACGAGAGCATACGACGTCACAATCTTCGCGACGTACTTGTCGCCGGATAGAGGGCACGCAAACAATCGGATGATCTCCCAAAACAATATGAAGTCGGTGGAAGAGGAGTGTGACGACACGGGTGGCAGATCTACTATCAGAGTGGGGGGATACATTAACCTCTACTTGTGAATGCACAGGCTGGACAGCAGGGGCCTGGTGGTAAGCAGGCACAGTTCGGGCAAACACGCGGCATCTTTGGGACCTGTTGCCAAGGAGGCGGAGAACGATAATGGAACAGTTTTCAGGGAGTTTTGTGTCCACAGCTCGTTGTCCGTTGCCACGAGTTTCATCGATTGTGGGCCTACCTACTACTGCGTGAAAAACGTGAATATGAGGACGAGCAAGATAGACCACATAGCGATACTGTCGCGGGCCCTACCCCATGCGTGGAGGTGCGCTGCGCTGAGAGGAGTTGCTAACAAATACATAAGACCAAAGCGAAAGGACACAGAGACCACATCCCTGTGGGCATGGATATTGGACTGGTGCATACATGTCATGTCTCGGGCAAGCCCAGACAGCCAAGAGGAAGTGGGCCGCGCCATGCTGATGGAGTACCTGAAGAAGGTCGCCTGAGGGCGGAATTCTCGAGCGCGTTCGACCGCCACCTGCAGGTCTCCCAGCCGCAGCAGCCAGGAGGAGCATTAGCGAGGCTTTCCCGGGGCGCGACCCAGGCTGATCCTTCAATACTCCACGGAGATGCATTAGCGAGGTTTTCTCGGAGTGCAACCCAGGAAAAACTTGTCGAACTCCCAGGGGAAGCACCGGCGACATTTTCTCGGAGCGCAACCCAGGGGGAGCTCGAGGCAGGAGAAGAATGGAGAGAGCTACAGGAGCGCCCCACGGCAGACCAGATGTGGAAGAAATTGGGCGAGGCGGGCAGGAATGCCATGAGAATAGTATTCCCAATCAAGGAGGAGCAGAGGGGCAAGGGGGTGGCCGCCTTCCAGTTACTACGACACCACTTACTAGCAGAAATGGGTGAAGTTAAGAGCGGGAATGGTGGAGCCTGACGCGCAGGAGGGATTAGAGGATGGCAAGAAGGAGCGGGCGCAGATACAAAATGCGCCGCGCAGGCGCAGCTCAGACCTGGACAAGGCAAGACAAAAGAAGCTGGCAGAGGAAATATGGAGAGCATACGAGAAGAACAACTTCAGCGAGGTGCACAGGTTCAGGGCGGATCACCAGAGGAACGGGAGAGGACTTAAGAAGAGGTACTATCTTTCAGCGCGGACATGGTGGAGCACAGAGGAATTGCTCACAGAATTGGGCAAACACCCCCACGATGGGGGGATGATGGAAGCCGAACCGATGGACCTGGAAGAGCGCGAGAAGGACCATGACGAGATGGCAGCAGAGAAAATGCCGCCCCCCCCCCCCAGTGGATATGGAGTTGAACGCCCGAGTGGAGAGGGACCAAAGAGACATGCTGAAGTACCGCAGGAAAGCGGCAAAGAGGAGGGCTCCCCCCCGCGTGGAGTAAGTACCAGTGGAGCTAACATGGGCGCTTTTGGAACTCGCAGTCAACCTGGGAGACCCCGAGCAGTTGAGCAAGAAGCTGGATGGAGCAGAAAGCACGGGCGGCAGATAAGCGAGATGACGAGGAAGATTCGGGCAAGCACAGCTCGCTCTACAAGCACACGGTGGGAGTGTCTAGTTCACAGAGAATCGGTTGGGCATCGGGCAGGGGGCCGGGCAGGGCAGACAGAGGTGGCGATGGCGAAGCACTACGGGCGATAGAACAATGATAAATAGCAAAGAGGGAAAGCACAATACATAAATATGTATATATATGTATATATATATATATAAAAACGCATCGCCTGGGGAGATGCGAGAAAGCTGGGCTGGGATCGTCGGCGTTGGAGAAAGACGCGAGTATGGGGTGCAGGAGCAAGCTGGAGGGCATCTTCACAATGCGTCGCCAATCTCAAGCTGCTGCATTGGATTGGCATAGGTCTTTCCCCCACTGAGCGGAAAAAAGAGGCAATCAACAGGCAGTGAGCGAGGGGAAAAGAGCCACGCGCGCACGCTGCTCCACGCGGCACACATCACAGAGGAAAAGCGCTGGAGAACCCGTGCCAGGCACGGGAGGGCTTAGAAATAGATCGTGGGAGAACGCGACTACTGGCGTTGAAGCTACACAGTGGAGAGCAAGACAATCAGGGGCGAGCACCATCGCCAGCAACTACGACTGCACAAACGCCGTCGTGAGCACGAAACGCATCCTCCTGCCGGCATCAGTCTTCGCCGCGTCGAAAGAAGAGGACCTACCATGCGCCGCCGAGGCGCTGCGCTATACGTCGATGGGCATGGAATGCGCAGACGACTGGCTGCATGCAAGGACTACGCGAGGTGCGCAAATGAAATGGACCCTACCTCGCGCCCAAGACAGTTCAATGATACACGCAACCTCCACATGGGCCCACCCCCGCAGGCGATTGGAGTTAGCGCGGCAATCTCGGAGCGCCATTCGGCGCTTGGCGAAAGCGAGGGCTTCTCGGCTCGCCTAGGTTCCCAGTTCCGAGAGCGAGGTTATCTCGGATTGCCCAGAAGCCCGCGCGAGAAGGATCGCAGAGCAGATAAATGCCACCGCGCAGCGCCTAGAGCGCAAGCTGGAGAGAGGAGGGTGGAGCTTGACCCGGCCAGTGCCAACCACCCGGTTGCCCATCGAGGCTCAGGGCGCGACGGGGCCACAAGACAGCTACATGGAGAGGAGGACAAAGGGCACGCCGATGAGGGAGATGAGAGCACTGGGGCCACACCTACCAGGAGATCAAGGATACGCGGGGGAGATCAGGAGGAGGTGCGAGTCCATGCAGGTCGCTCACAGATGATGCGGGTGCGTCTGGTCTTCTGATACTACCGACGAAATAAAGAAGAATATGTTCCAGGCGTTTGTTTCGGGCGCAGGCCTGAGTGGATTGGCGGCGCTTGTGCTGGGGGCGCGTCGCTTGAAGGCACTTGACAGTACTATGGCGTTACGTTTGAGAAGAATGGCAGGAGGCAGAATGAGCTGGACAGACGCAGATGGCGCGACCAGGTGATACGCCAACCCAGAGGTTATCAGGAGATGGAGGATACCGCGCTGCTGGACAGCTCTGAGGATACGCAGGCTACGGTGGCACAGACAACGGGCGACACGGCCAGGGGACTTTGCCAGCGCGTTGGCAGCAATTTCTGGCGCGCCGAAGCTGGGCGGCCTCTGCCAAATCAGGAGATTGGAGAATGGACGGGCATGCGAAGCATCTACACCATGGGCATGGCAGGCGGTCAGGGATTTCCCGGCGCTGGCGGAGGTCAGCGAGGACGTCGGCAGCTGGTGCCCGCGAAGGCAGTCAGACATCTCAATGTTCAGGAAGAGCGCGAGAGATTGGGAAGCTTGGATTGGGGCGGACCCCAGTGTCCTACGCCACGCTGGAGAGGCCCGGGACACACTGCTACCGGGAATTACGGTGGGGGGAGATGTGGTGGCTCAGTTTTGGCGCGACTGGGAAACTGCGACAGGGGGGCAGGTGCGCGGAGCGCGTTGTACTACGGCGGCGGCGCTGGCAGGGCACAGGAGTGTCGCGCAGCTGTCTTCCGCTGATGACCAGCTTGGCGATAATGAACCAATGTCCATGGTGCTTGAAGTCTGTCGCGACAAAAATAGACCCGGCAATGTCATGGGAGCAACGGAAAGCCACGGGATTTCCTACAAAAACAGACGCTGCTGGAACCGCCCAGTACAAGAGCCCCCTTCCCTTGTGCGCATCCTCGGCGGCTATTAGGCTCAATCCGCGGGTGGCTTTCAGGCGCGCGCGCTGCCGCCATCCCGGGCCGCGCTGCGCGAAGGATGGCGACGGTGCCGCGCAGGCAACCCCCGCCCAAAGGAGGAGCACACGCGGAGATGGAAGGAGAGCCGAAGCGCCACATGGGCGGCAAGGGAAAATGAGAAGACCAGTGGCACACAGAAGGGGCCGGCGTTAAGGCAGCGGGCAGCCCGCCAGCGGCCGCGGCCGCGGCGACGAGAGGGGGCGGCAAGGGCAGAGGAGGAGGGCGCAGACCCCACCCCCCACCAGCCATACGCAGCGGACGGCTACGAGGAG